CTAAGGAGAGTGAGAGAGGTGAGAGAGGCGAGAGTGAACTGCTAGAGGGGAAGAGATCGAGATGAGGGAGAAATTTCAACTTTCGAGCCATTCGAGCCCGAAACATTCGAGCTACCAGTCATTTTCCCTAGTCAAATAGTAATTTCGCTTTTCTCACACATTGACTTGCACGTGAAAATTAGTTGAAAGTACAAACAGATAACATAACAACAGAAAAACACTAGAGCCACGTTGGAGTTCTTTAACAGCAAAACCAACCCTAACTCTTATATTATGTGGGTGTTTGGGAAGTTGTTATTTTAATAGGTTTTTTTAGTTTTTGATTATCTTAGGAGGTTAAAATTTGTGATTAGAAAGATAGTTGGTTTTTTTTTTCTTTTTTGTAGTTGGATAAGATGTTTGTGAGAGAAAAAGTGAAATAATTATGGGTTTGATGTGATATTTTGTCTGGATTTATTTATTTATTTTCATCAATTTTGTCTTTTAGTATTTTTTTAGCAGAAAAAAAAAACAATTCCCAAACACCCCCTATAGGGCTCACATTTGGGGGGGAAAAAATGGTAAATTACCCTACTAGTCCCTCTAATTTGATTTTCATAGTTTTAATTTGAATAATTTAATTTTTTCACTTCTGATTTTGTTGCTATGTGATCCCTTCATCATGTATTGTTAACATTTTGAACAGAATAAAAAAAAAAGCACGTGCAAAACTAGACAGACCAAATTGAAATTCAAAACAAACTATAAAGGCCATCGATGTAATGAATACATTATACCAGAGATCCTTGTAGCTTTTTTAAAGGGCGAATTACACTAATAATCTTTATAGTTTGAAATTTGTGTTACTTAAATTCCTGACTTTTAAATTATAACACACTTAATCATAAATTTTAAATATTATTCCAAATAAGGACAATAGATAACTACCGTTTGTTTTTTGGACGGAAATTGTTCACGTGCAATCTGCCCGAACACTTTGTAAGGGCAAAGTCGTGATTTTGCCTTATTTCCTGTCCAAATAGACACTTCCCTCTTTACTTCATGCATGCATGCATGTGTCAAAGGAAACCTGGAAGGAAAAAAAATATAGAGGAAAAATAAAGAGGCTCGAATAATAATAATAATAATCACTATGCTTAGTTATAATTTTTCAAAAATACTTTTCAGAAAATTCTATTCTTTTATTTTTCGTATTTTTTTGCTTTTACTGAATTTTTTTAATATTTTGAGCAATTTTTTTTTTAATTTTTAGACAAACCTAACATAAATATACCTAAAAAGTAAAAAAATTTGAAAAAAAAACCTTTTAAAAATTCACTAAATACCAAAAATACAAAAAAATACGAGAATTCAGTACATTTTTTTATATTTTTATGTATTTATTAATTTTTAAAAATATTTTGTCACAAATTTTTTACTTTTTAGATGCATCTAAGTAAGGTGCATCTAAAAAAGTAAAAAAAAAATTTTAAAATTTTAAAAATATTTACTAAAAACAAAAAAATACGAAAACCAAAAAACTCAATTTTTAAAAAACTTAATTCAAAAAACTCAAACCAAACACACTGAATAATTTTGGAAATTCAAGCACTTTTTATTTTTATATAATTGTTTTTGAAGAGAATATTTTTTTATATTTATTTTCATCAAATTAATTTTTATTTTTCCATTTTTTAAAAATAATCTCATAAAGTTAAGTTAAACATTGTCACAACTTTGATGTCATTATTAAACTAATTTAATAATTTTTTTAAAAAGAATCTAAAAAAATCTCAGAAGCCCAAGCTAAACATAGCCACAATTTTGATATCATTATTAAACCAATTCATTAAATCAAAAATTTTAAAACTAAAAATATTTCATATATTAAACATATCCATTACATAGCCTAATAAGCATTCATTACATAATAACAATCTCAAAATATCAATAAACATTACTATCCATTACGTAATCATCCTCCAAACATTTTTTTTTTTTGAACACTCCAAACACATGTTAAAAACTAAAAATAACTATAAACATCCCTTACAACCCAAAAGTATTCAAAAAAATATTAGTGATCATTGATGTTTCTCATCATCCTGTCCAGCGACAGTTCTTTTCCTCTTACCAGAAGCAAAAGTTTGTTTCCCCTTCCCAATAGAAAAAGTTGATCTTGGTTGGGATTCCATGGGTTGAGAACTTGGCTCAACACTATTGACCTTGATTTGTTTGCTTGAATCGGTTTGCTGGCACAAGTATTGGTAATTGGTATTGCTTTGTTGTGCAAATTTGGTTGACTAGCACTAGTATTGCCCACTGGTCTTGGTCTGCTATGCAAGCTTGGCTGAATGGCACTAAAAGTGGCCACTGGTCTTGTCCTAGTACTCATTCTTGGCAGACTGGCACTTTGTTGGCTTCCCATTACTATTGGAGAACTAGTTGGAGTTGCATCAGTGTTGCTATCAGTGTTCATACTAGCCTACATATTCTTTATTACTATCAAAACTTATATTTAAAAAAAAAAAACAAAAACGGAAGAGAAGATAAAGTTTGAACTTATAGGCATTGTTTCCCTCTTGCTTTTGCCAACCATAGGTTGTCCTTTACAGCTCCTATTATGTCCAAGCTTTCCACAAGTGCTTCAAGTGGTTGTGGTGTGTTTTCTCTTCAACTTGTGTGGATTTTGGGGTTCATTTTTTTCCCCTCATTCTTAATTTCTTAGGTCTTCCAGACTGCTTCTTAACTTTTGGAGGCAAAAGTGGAGGTAGGCCTATTTTTGGCCACATTTCAGGACCATTGATAGGGTATACAATGGGCTCATAAGTAGCCATGTAGGCCTCAATTTTGTGCCAATTCAAGGGAGCGGGTTGTGGTTAGAAACTTGGTTTGATGAAGTGTATGAGTGGCATTGTAGAGAGTTACGCTTTCAAGGAGAGTATGGCTAGCCAATGAAAGGGTCCCCCTCAATGCTTGGAACTCCACAACTTTCAGCAAAATTGCAAGTAACTGGGGCCAAGTGCTTTCCATTAATGGAAAAGTTGACTCACGCATGGAACTGGAAAGAGGGAAAGCTCTTGTTGTAACTAATTTTAGCAATTTAATCAATGGATTTTGCAAACTAAAATTCGATTGCTTTATTTACAACATCAGAGTTTCAGAGTTGGAATTTCAGAACAACTTCATTTTAGGCTCATCTTACTACCCTAAAGTGGCAATTAAGGTCAATGAAGGTATCAACGTATCTAATTCTGTTGTAGGTTTCCTCAGTGAAGCAACCGGTGATTTATAGGGTGAGAAAGATGGTGGAGATCAAATTAACATTGATGAAAATGCTTTAGTCCATTCTGGCAATGCATTAGAGTGTACGGTTCTGACCAGAGGCTTTGAAGGATTTGCTCCGGAAGAAAATCACGGTGATGATGACGTGGCTCTTCTCAGCCAAGTTGAGGACTCATTTAATGTCATGAGTAGTATGAATGGTGCCGAATTTTGCGTTTCCGATGACTAGTAATGATATTGATTGTATCTATATACAAGAAGTAGATATCCCAGAGGTACAGCATCTCATAGATTCCAATGCTCTGGGCTTAATTTCAATTCACCTTATTTTGTTCCAAAACCAAGTAAGAAGATCTTTAAGCCCAAATCATGCCTTATCCCCACACCATCTCAGCCCACATCATTCCCATTTTCTCACAAACAAAAGAAGTCCCATTATGAAACACAAAGTCAATAATAGAAGAAAGAAACTCTCACTTCTTGAGTTGGGACACCCTCATAAATTCTTGAACAAAGGAAGATACATAAAGGACACTAACAAAAAATCAAAGGATGCCAAGTTTGTTCGATCTTCACAGCCTTCGCAATCATCAATTTCTTCCAGTACCATTTGGCTATGCAATAAACGGATCACGCATAATTTGGTCGAGTCTGATGAAGATCTTGAACAACAAGATGAAGATGGAGAAGAGGAATACAGACTCCTTTTGGCTGAAGCAGAAGAAACCTTGCAAATGGGCAAGAAATTGCAAATTGATTTTGGGGGTAGAGAAGACAAAATTCTGAAAGATTTTATCAAGATGGAGCTGAGTAACAGAGCCAAACTCGACAAGAAAACTAAACGTAATACTGTTTGAGTTTGTTTCATAGAGTGTGCATTTGTATTTAATTATTAGATGGTTAGTGGGTTACGATGGAAGTAGGAGAGGTTGTTTTGTCCTGTGGGTGATAAGTCTATGAATGGTTAAAGTCCGTGGGGGTGTGTTTTGTTTTGTTAGGGGGTAGGTTGTTTTCAGGAGCCTTTTGGAGAGGGAGTGGGGTAGCGTTTTTTATGTTGAGTGAATTTGGTTGATTCTGTAAGAGGGGCAGTGTGATGTGGAGTTAAGATCTTCTTAACTTCTTTTTCATTGCTATCTGTTTATTTTTTTGTTGTTTTAAAATATTGTGAGGCTTAGGGGATTGTTGTATGGATGCCAGTAGCAGTAGTAGGGGTATCTTATTTTTTTTGAATCTCCCTTGATGCATGTCATCTTTATGTACCTTTAATTTCTTGTTTTATTGATATTTTTCTTTGCTGATCCAAAAAAAAAAAAAATGTGCTACATAGTCTTCAGGATTTTCATGCTTGAAGTAAATGGTTGAAATACTATGAGGACAAGCAATACCACTTAAATCCCATTTCCTACAAGAACAAGTATGAGCTTCTAGATCAACCACAAATTGTTGTCCATTGAAACAATTTATTTGATATGTAGAAGCCCCAGACCACATAGGAAAACAACTATTACTCCATCTTTTTCTCAAGGTTTTTTTTTTTTTTTTTTATGGTGGGACACAAAGGCCTTGATATGCCCACATGATTTCCCTCCTCCTTTGCATTCTACTCATTAGAATACACCTTATGTCCTCCAACATAGGTAATATTGTCTTAGATCTTGCATCCAAAATTCTAAAATTAAAACTTCACAATTGCTGTTATGCAACATGTGACACTTACTATGAGTGATGAAGTGAGATCAAGACAAAAAGCTAGCTGGTTTCTCAGCCAACCACTTAAATGCATCTTCATCAGCCTCTTTAACTTCATGCATATGAAATTCAAACTGTTGAACATAAGAGGCTTTGGCTGCACTCCATAGAAAATCTGTAAGAAGAACACCCTTGTGACTATCTTAGAAGTTGTTGTACATGTGTCTTACACAAAATCTATGCTCGGCATTTGGTATGACCTCTACTAGTGCTGGAATCAAACCCTGAAATTGCATAAACATATCAAACACGATTTGAATTATATTGAGCAAACACTTCATAACAAAAGAAAGTTCATAAGATGGTATGCATATTGTTAAACATACCTTTTGTTTGTCAGACATAAAAGTGAATCCTTGGTGATTTACTATTCCAAGATCTTCTTGTAATAGTTCAAAAAATGATTTCCATGATTTCCTTGTTTCTCCTTCAACCACAACATATGCCACAGGGAAGGTGGCGTTATTTCCATAAATTCCAATAGCAGTAAGTATTTGTCCATTGTATAGACCTTTAAGATGACAACCATCTACCCTAATAAATGGCCTACATCCAGCCAAAAACCCTTGCTTGCAAGCCCCTAAACACACATATATTCTTTGAAACCTGGACTTTTCCTCACTGTCTTCATCATCTTCATCAATTCCATCATCTACATCATTTGGCACCTTAATAACAATAGTTGTCTCAGGATTTGTTCTTCTAATCTCTTTGCAATAGTCCCATAGTTTAGCATATTGCTCCTTATAATTTCCTTCAATGAGTTGATGTGCCTTTCTCTTTGCCCTATGCAATTGACTTCTTGAAACACCAACATTGTGATCTTTTTGAACAGATTGTTTAAAAGATTGTGTTCGCCATGTGGGGTTGGACTTAATGCTTTCCACGTATTTTTTTGACAACCAAGTGGAGTTCACATTTTTGTTTTAGAATATTGTACCACAATTATGTGTAGGTACATAAGTTTTCACTTGCAAGCTCATTTGGCCATGCATCTTAGATGCATATATTATCCATTGACAAGGAGGTTTACAGCCTACCCTAACCCTATTTTTATCATTTTTCAAGAACTTTATATCTTTTCCAGTCTTGATGGCATGTTCTTTGACAACTTGTTTAAAAACATTGAATGATGGAAAAACCATGCCAACTCGAAATTGAGGATCAATCATGTCAGTCTGTTTGTTAAATTCAAGAAACTTGTCCCTTTTGAGCCCACCATCTTCATCAAATGACCCCTCAAGTGAGATCAATTCATCTGATTCCATATCATTTTCATCCCAATTCACTACAACAAGTTTGCTCTTGAATGATGAATTTTTTTAATTTTTAATTTTTTATTTTTTGTCTCCAAAGAGATAATTTCGTCACTATAGATATTTGTGAGGAAATATTTTCCTCACCGGTTTGGTTTGAATGTTTGTCGCTAAAAACCACCGTGATGAAAAATAATTTCGTCACAAATGATATTACTTTAGTGACGAATTTTTTGTCACCAATAAAAAAAAATTTTGTTGTCAAAAATTCTCATTTTCGTTACCAAATAGTTATTCAGTACTATATTTATAGCTTTAGTTGACGAATAAATTTGTCACATATGTTGATCATTGATGAGGAAATAATTTCATCACAATAAGATGTAAAGATGACGATGTTTTTCGTCTCAAAAAGTCTACATAGGTGACGAAATATATTTCATGGAAAAAAATATATATACGTGACAAAACTTTTAGTCACCAAACAACAAAATCAACCAAATATTTCATATATAAATTACAATAAATTTTGTCACAAAAAATATTTATTAGCGATAAATAATCACTTTGTCGTAATAACATGTACAAATGACGAAAAAAATTGGTCACTGAACTTGTTCCATATTTTATATTTTAATTTACACTATTATTTCACAAATATCCATGGTCATATTTCAATAGCCTTTTAAATGTACTAAGAAATCCACTAGTTGTTATACACCATTCCACAAAAAAAATCACTAAACAATTTATATTATAAATGAAAATATATCCATCAAATAAATTTAATAATAATCCATTAAGTATGATAAAAAAAAAACCATCATAGCTAATTCCAAAATGAACTAACGTTCAGTCTAAAAAAATAAATAAAAATAACACTCGATCTGGATTTGCAAATAGAACTAAGTATCAGTTCAGGAAAAAAAATTCAACAGTTAATCTACATTTGCATGTATGCTTTCAAACGTCATCAAAAACCAATTTGCAAAAAAAAAAAATAAATAAACAAGAAAAACATTAATACATTATCAATTACATCTAAACTCATCTATAAATATTTTATTTTATAAACCAATTTAGTAGAAATGTATATAACAATTCAAAACTTCAAAGAGTTGAGGTGATCCTTGATGATAAATCAACACGGATAACATAAGATGCCAAAATATTGCAAGAATACCATATATCACTATCACTATCACCAATGGCAAAATATATATAATAGCTCCAAAATATAATGTAGCATTTGATTCACGACAATGGACTGATGACTTCTTCAATGAGGTAAATTTGATTAGTGGAATTCAACACAAGAACCTTGTAAGACAATATAGGAACCTTGTAATATTTTTGGGTTGTACCATTGAAGCCCCTCAATGCCTTCTGGTTTATGAATTTGTACCCAACAAAAGCCTTGATCAAATCCTCTTTGGTGAGGAATTATTGTGATTTTTTAGTTTTTATTTATAAACATGCTCATAATTTTTTTGGCTCTTTGGTTTTTAATTTTGGCTGCTTTTGGCTAAAGATAAAATACTAAATTGTTTAAGTTCTTGGCTTATTTTCATCTTTTTTCAATAAAATACACATTTTTACATTTCTTTAGATATTTAGAAGACCCCGTGTATGATTAGATTTGTGTAATTGAACTCAATTGTGTAATTTGCATTGCTACACAAATTAAAGGATTACTGAATTCACTAAAAATTGCAGTTACAGATATATTCATATAATCATAGCACATAGCAAACCATGCAAACATTCTTTCCTTTTTCCATTTATCTACTTATATGTTTTAAGAGTTTCCAAAAAACTCTTAACTATTACTGCTTTTACCATCACCTTGTGTATATGAGATTATTCCTACTCCTTTTATGGAGTTTCACATGACTATGACATGAAACTTGTAACTTTTTTTTTTTTTTTTGGCTATATTATAATTGACAAAAGCATATAAAGCAAAACCTGAGATATCCTTGGACATTCTTTCAATTGTATCTTTAAGTGGCGACACTCTTTAGGTGTCTCTTTGATTACCACTAGGCTAAGAGCTATTGATTGTACTAGTTTGATCACTAGGATAACCTATAGGATTAAGTCTTGGACTGATAGAGTTCTGTCCTATGCTGGTAGAGGTCAATTGATCAGCTTTGTCCTCTTCTCTATGCGAGTTTACTAGTCTTCTCTCTTTATTATCCCCAAAAAGGTGATTAAGGAGCTTGAGGCCGCGTGTAGATCCTTTTTATGGTTTGGGTTTGAACTAAAGAAGACTGGGGCTAAGGTTGCTTGGGACAGGTTGTGTGCCCCTAGAGGTGAGGGGGTCTTGGGTTTAAGTTTATGGAAATTTGGAATAAAACTGATGTGTCTAAATACATTTGGTTCCTTGTTTCGGGGGGTGAGCAATCCATGTGGTGCCAATGGGTTAAATCCTACCTTTAAAAGGCTATAGTTTTTGGAGAGTCAGAGTCCCTAGTGATCCCTCATGGGTTTGGAGGAAACTGTTGTCTCTTAGGAGCCTCATGTACCCTCTGATCAAATGTTTGATAGGCTTTGGTGAGAATACTTTTCTCTGGTATGACAATTGGCACCCATTAGGTTCGCTCTGGTCTAAGTACGGGGATAGGCTCATTTATGATATTGCTCTTGATAACAATTCTAAAGTGAGGTCTATTGTGATTGATAGTGGGTGGCAGTTGGCCAATGATTTCTCTTGGGAGGTACAAGAGATCACCTCTACCACTACCCTTGATTTGGCATCTTCCCTGTTGAGCGTTGACAAAGTTATTTGGGTTCCTAATAAGGATGATAAGTTTAGTATTAGGTCTGCCTGGCAACAATGGAGAACCAAGTGGCCTACGAATCAATGGGCTGGATTACTCTGGGGCCATCATTCTATTCCTAAAGTTAGCTTTATTTTGTGGACGACTATACTTGGTAGACTTAATATGGGCGATAGGCTTATTATATTTGGCATTAACATTGCCCCCACATGCCCTCTATGTGGGCAAATTGGAAAAGATCATAACCATTTGTTTTTTAAATGCCCCTTTTCCTCTAAAATTTGGGTTGCTATCCTTGGGAAATGCAATGTGAACTGGAATTGTAATAGCTGGAATGATTGGGTAAGTATGGTGGCTAGAGATTGCAAGGGTAAATCTCTATCTACCATTATTAAGAAACTTGGCTTTTGTTGCAGTGTTTATCAAATCTGGTTGGAAAGGAATAACAGGGTGTTCAATAAAGAAAAGAAGCCTAAAGAGTTTGTGTAGACACCCCATTTTTGACCGTTCTAAAGACTTGGACATCATCGATTGAGTGCTCGATGATTGCGCATGTTTGCGCTCGTTTGGAGTCCTCAGGGTTGTCGGCTGCGCGTTTTGCCTCTAATTCTCTGAACTTTCTTGGTTTTGTGCTTGTTCTAAGCTAACCCTTGGTCCCCCCTTTTGCCTGGAAGGAGAAGTAGGGGTGTAGACCACTTTTTTCCCCTGCCAGCTAGTTTTCTCCCCTGTAGACCACTTTTCTTCCCTGTAGACCACTTTTGGTGGTCGGTCAGCTAGGGTGGGTGGTCGGTCGACCAGCCTAAGTGGTCTACAGCCTGCCACCACCTTCTCCTCTCTTTGTAGACCCTTTTTCTCCCCTACTAGCCAGTTTTTTTCCCTTGTCAACCACCTAAGGTGGTCGGTCGACTAGGGGGGGTGGTCGGTCGACCACTTTAAGTGGTCTGCGGCCTTTTTTCTGCTTTTGCAGATATTTTTGGTGCCAGTTGTGCTAGCTGTTAGGCACAAAATGCATGTAGGGAGGGATTCAAGCAAGCTTTGGCTTGCATAGTCTACATAAGGGGAGCTCTCTCCCCCTTCCAAGAGGTTCAGAATTTTGGAGAAGAAAATATCTACTCTCTCTCTCTCTTTCTATATTGTTGTGCTCCATAGTGGTTAGAATTGCATTTTCTTTGCATATTTGCACACAACCTCCTTGACAAATACCACCATCTTTGTTGCTGAGGTTCTTGGAGGGTGTATTTGAGTTCTAAAAGCTGGTTTTGAGCTCAAGAAGTTGCTGTTCTTATTGTTCTTCAAGGGTAAGCCATATTCCCCTTTTGAGCCTTGTTTTGGTTGCATATTTGGCCGCCTTTTCATGCTTAGTTTGGCTTAAATTTCAACTACAAAAAGTTTTATCTTTAAGTGTTTAAAATGTTTGTTTAAGGTCTTGTTTGAGTTAGGGGTGGTTTACCTCCTTTGGTGGCTTGTTTTTCTTTGTTTTGTGCCATCTCTTAAGGCCTTTGGGACCATCTCTTTTTGGCCTTCTTACCATTGAAACTCAGATGAATTTCAGTGGTAGAAATGTGGTTTTGAGGTCCCAAATGGCTGGGGGTTGTCCCCCCTCATCTTCTCTTGTTTGCATGTGTTGATGGCTCATCAAAAGAGCACGTGTTTCTACTTCTTTGTGGCTTTGTTTAGGCTCATTTTTGTGACTTTTCAGACCTTCCATAACTTTATTTTTGTCTGTCTTGGTCACCTCTTGCATGCTTATTGCACTTGTAGTGTAATCCTACTTGTAGCCTTGCAAAGTAGCATGTCTTTGTGCCTTGAATTTGCTTAGTTAAAGCATGTTTATAGTCATTATTTGCCATGTCATAACTCTGTTTTGGGTTGGTTCGGTTGCCTCTTGCATGCTCCTTGCACTTGTAGTGCAATTTGGTTTCACTAGCCTAGTGTATTTGGTGTTTTAGCCCATTGATCTAACATGTGTATGCTCTACTCCAGCACATTTTTGGCTATGTTTTAGCATGCTCTAGGTTTGATTTGAGTGGTTTGGTCATGCATGCTTGGCTTTGCATAGCTATAGTGTATTTGGCTTTGCTAGCCTTGCACTTTGGGACCTCTAACATGTCATATTTGAGATTTTTGCATGGCATGGCATCATTTGGCATGTTATTTCAGGCCATATACCTCTGCCATATTCTTACATTTATCATCCCTTTGTTGTGTTTGAGGGTTGAGCCTTATGAT